CCTCGGAGTCACTAGCACTCAGCTTGCCCTCCAGGTCCTCTCGAAGGCGCTGAAGTTCATCATTCTCCTTCAACAGCGCAAACTTCTCCTTCTCCAGGCCCTTGGCCACAGCATGCGCACCCCTCAGGTGCTCCATGTGCCGGGCAACCTCCGCCTTCACGATTTTTAGCTCCACCTTGTCGTCATCGGAGGTGGACTTCCACGCCTGGGCTTCAGTTTGGGCCTCCTTGAGTTCTCCTTCCAGAGCCGCGACAGTCTCTAAGGCGGCCAAAGAGGCTTCTCGTTCCTTCAGAGTCAAAAGCTCGCGCCTATCGAGCTCGGCCTTTACTCTGATAGCAGTCTGGCAACTGCAGCGTGAGCMAGTGGGCAAGGACAAAGGGAACCGAAATGTCAGGATAAAAGGTAAACATACSAAAACAAAGGAAGGCAAGCAAAGTCGCACCTCGGCAGTGAAATSCAACAGTCGTTGGATGGCTGACCTGGGAGCGCTGAAGAACTTGGAAGCCCTCCTCCAACAGCGGTTGAAGTAGGAGCTCGTCATCTCCATGGCTCTCTCCCTCACCCTGGCACTAGATGGCTCAACCTTAAACTTCATCTCGATGTTAGAGGTGCCACCCATTCTAGCCTCGGGGTCGTYAACTAATTCCCCGAAAGGACTGATTCGTCGCCTAGCGCGCAACTCCCTCACCTCGTCCTCGGAGTGATGGGTCTTGCGCTTCTTCTTCTTAGATTTCTTAGGGGAGCCTTCCTCCGAATCTCCCTAGGGGGAGAAACTTCAAGGATCTCCTATCCAGAGAGGCTCCAGCCGTAGTCGCCTCCTKTGTCGAAGCGGCTTCGTGTCCAACCTCAACCACCTCGACCTCGGTAGGAGGTTCAGCGATAGCAGGGCTAGGTGCCTCCTTATTCTTGGAAGCCTGCCCAGTGCGTGGGCGCTTGCGCCAAACATCCTGGGAGAAGCCGCAAACCATGGCTGCAAGAAAGAGTAGTTGTAAGTTAAGTACAAGATACGAAAAGCATCCGATGTAAAGCATCAGAACATCTAAAAGGCAACTAACCTAGTTCGGAATTCGGTCTTCGAGCTTCGAGTGGAGATAAGAGAGGGTTGTAATCGAGCAGTCTTGAGGCGAGAAGAAGCTTATTTGTTATAAGAGTGCTGATCTGCCTGCCGCTCTTAAACTTGCTCTTGAAAAATTTCAACGCGTTGAAGGTCGGCTCGGAAGGTTGAGGAATTGGCCGAATAGCAACTGAAAACATCAAAGTTATAAGTTAGACAAAGAAAGGAAGCAACTTAAAGCGAGTAAAAGACTCCGCTCCTTGCCTAAATTCCCAAACCTACGAGGGACGCTGAAGAAAGGCAGGTCGACCTCGTTCCTAGCCAGCCACACGCYAGTGGCAAAGAACCAYTTTCCGACCCATTTCTTTATGGAGGTCAGACYTTTCAGAATGCCTCTCGCGCCCATTCTAGCGCACAGGTAATACCTCCCTGGTTTCCTAGAGATTTATTTAACCTCGAAGCAAGCCAGAAGCTGGTGAACTCCGATGAGGTCCAAATCATCCACCTCCTTACACCGTAACCAGAATAAAACGACTAATTCAAAGACGACTCCCCATCCATTGGGGGCCACTTGTGTAGGGGCTRGTCCAGTTCGGAACAAAAAATCCTGGGCCAAAGGGTGGATGGGAAGGCGGAAGTCGTACTCAAACATTTTTAAGTAAAGGGTTACGCATTCTTCAGATGGATTATCAGCTCGTTCCCCTTACTTRGGGAGCCTAAGGATGATGTCATCCGGAATGCTATATCTCGTATGAAGGGAGCCAAGGTAACTCTCAGGCATCTGAAAAGGGAATTCTAAACCTTGTCCCAAGGTTGAAGTATCACTATCATCCCCATCATCCTCTGAGAACCCAAAATTATCTATCTCCTCCTCTAGCTCGGAGTCTAACCTATTAGCAAACTTCTCTACGGAATCGGCCCTTCTGGGCGAAGCGTCCTAATTCCAAGCTGCCCATTAGAAGAACTACTATTACTTGGGCTGGAGGGACTAGAAGATGTCGACATGACTTTGAAAATAAAAGAGTGAACTTAAAAAAAGAGAATGAGCCAGACTGACCTAAAGATTCCGATCTGACGAGGTCGAACTCCAAGATTTCAGAAAGCRTAAAAAACGAAAACAGAACCTTGGTGGTATTTATAGTAGCCCGAAATTCAATCTTGGCCACACACATGTCCCAAATTGGACGTCTCAGATYGGAAGAAGTCTGAACGTCAAAGGTAATCAAGTGTGCGTTGACCGYCGGTTCCGTTTTCGAGATTTCCCAATGGTAACATTTATCGTGTCGGCCTAGGAAGTCACCAAGCGAATCAGCTTCCCCAAGGATAACAAACTTCTCTGTCAGGTCGAGATCGAACCCGGCAGAGAGGGGGCCACTGTKTGGGGAAGAAATATCTTTTCRCCAAGTGGAGGACAGGGATTCGCCATTAAACAGAAGAATTAAAGGATTAAGTTTATGGAGCTCCATCTCGGACCCTTCCGAGACGGATCACTCACCACTTCCTATTAAGGAATTAACTCAACATTTCCAAGAGTGTGTCTAAGTTYAATCTGCTCGAATCCGACACATCCGACCTCAATTCCAACCAAGGTAATCACTTGTCGTAACCCCTGTCGGAGCCTAAACCTATAAACARAGGGCCTCATTTCATTATCAGGTATCGAATTTCTCCTCGAACTTAATATTGAGTCTGAGCTGCTTAGTGACTTGAGCGTTGGAGATTTTGTCCTCTTGTGTAGGTCTTCCCTTCGCATTTCGGGTCAGGGATCGGGTTCAAGCTAGATAGATGTTGTGCAAATCCTTGCGTAAATACCATTGTTTTTATAAGGATGGATAATTTTAGGTAAGAAAAGTATTTTTTTCCTTTGAAATTAGTAAGAAAAGTTAATACTTAAGGTATTTGATTTTTAATATATATATTTTTATTAATACTTAAGGTATTTGGCTTTTCATTTTTTAATGCAATTAACACAATACATGACAAGAAATGGTTGTAATTTGTAGTTTACTAAGTTAGACAAACATTTCTAACTTGTAGTTTACTAAGTTAGACAAACGTTTCTAACTCCAGTTTTTCTCTAACTTTAACGAGATAAATATGCTGAGTACTTCATAATAAAAGTATGAGTTATTAGAGTATTCAACTTGGCTGACATAAATATTTTTTTTACTAATATAAATAAATTAGATAATGAAATGAAAAGAACATCGAATTAATTAATAGGTTTATTCATAAAAAAATATTAAATTGGAAAAAATATATAATTGCCAAATAATTCTTGGTTTGTTTATTAAAAACTTTGTTTTACTCCCTTGGTTGTCTTCTAATCACTACAGCTTTGTTTACATTTACTTAGAATATCAATATGTCTACAAGAAAATATGAATATTGATATAAAAAGCCTAAGAAGAAAAGAAGAATAGAAAACCTTAATATACATTAAAGTTTTACTTAGATTACATGATCTAGGAAGGTGAGAAAATATTGACTCTTAATTGATTTACTAGTAGAGAAAGGTATCATTAGAGAACGTTATTTAATTTTTTCCGAAAGATAAAAATTATTGACATTTTTATAATATTCATTAAACTAAAAAATTATGTAGCGGCAAAAAATATGATATAAATCTGAGAGTTTACTCAAAGTAGTGTGATAAAGTTTATTGTTTTTGTAAGTTATTTGGTACTAAATCAAATACAGTCCAAAGGGGATGAAGAAGGTAACAACTAATATTAGTTCGACGTGTAGAAGCCATGAATCTAGTAATGAATACATATTTAATATGAAAGTTTGATTGATTTACAAATTAGATTATTTGAAAATAAAACAATTGACAAAGATATTCAAGAATTAATTAATAAAGAAAAAGGACATTGGAATAAAGTATACTAATAAACAATTATTGATCTGGTTAAAAATCTTCATATATTTTATATTAAGCCCTCCTTGTCAAAAGTTTTGTCTAAGACCTCATATCATCCGGAATCGCCCTGTTTTTATTAATTAATTCTAAAGATTTTTTTAGTATAATAAATAGAGTAAGAGATTCGAATTTATGATCTGTTGGTTAGAGACATGTGTCAATTACACTTGAATTAAATTCGTATTGGCTTATTTCTCTTGAAGACTACTCATGTTAGCTTAATTCTTTATATTTATGATTTTAGAATTTCAAAATATTAAAGATGTAACAATTAAATAATTTTTAAAAATAAAAAGTATAAAAGCACATTAAACTGAATAATATGAATTCACACGATAATGCTGACCATTTCAATCCAAGAATATTGAATATAAAAAAATTGTTTTTTCAATTTATTTAAAAAATTAATTATAAGATTTAGGGTGTTATCTTAATGGTAAAAGTCTAGAGACAAAATCTTTTATTTGGACAATATTAACATTGGGCTTTAGATAATACTTAAGATATCATATTTTTTATTTTTAATTTAAAAATACAAATTTAATTCAAAAAATATATTATGAACCTTTCTTTTTGATCAACTTTACCAATGTTTGCGAATATAATATTTTACATTCTCGTGGGATGCAAATTGTAGTTTCGGTATTATTTATCATCTCGTGAAATTATTTAAAAAAAAATGTTTACCCGCACATAAATATACACACTTTTTATCAATTTCCAGTAAAGTAATAGTTTTTTTTCCCACTTGTTTACAATGGTGATTTTCAACCAAAATTAATTGTATTGGCCACTTGTTGTTTAGTGAGCATTAATAGGCACATAAATTTAAGGGAGAAGTAGTTATTCCATTCATTCTAGAAGGTAGAGAGAAAAACTTAAGAATAGGATCCGAAAACAAGCAAGTTTTACGGTATAACCTCTAAAACATATTGGACAAATTTAGGTAATAAGAATTGAGTTTTTTCTTGTATATAAAGACGGTTTGGATGAATGGACATCGGTACCCATTTTAAAGTTAAAAAAGAATCTAACCCCAAAAAAATTTAAAAAGAAAAGGAAAAAGGATGGGATTGGGATCGAGATCGAAGTTCGTGCTATTACAATTGGTGTTATTGTTGCAATTGGCGTTTCTAGGTAAAGCTAAAACTGGTGGTGCTGCTGCTGCCGGCGGCGGAGGCGGTGTTTTAGATCTCACGAAGTTGGGTGCTAAGCCTAAGGGTGATATTACTCAAGCTTTCACAAGTGCATGGACGCAAGCATGTGGATCCACCGCTGCAACTAAAATATCGATTCCAAAAGGAGAGTATAATTTAGGTGAAGTCAACGTCAAAGGCCCTTGCAAGAGTCCAATTGAGATTGAACTCCAAGGAACGTTAAAGGCTCCAATTGTAACAAAAACAGATGGATGGCTTACTATCGGAAATGTTAATTACTTAACATTGTCGGGCAGTGGAGTTTATGATGCCCAAGGGAAAGAAAGTTGGAAATTGAATGATTGCCACGTAAACAAAAAGTGTACCATGCTTCCCATCGTAAGCTTACCTTCTTCAATAATTACAATACAATTATATTCCCTTCACATCATCTTATTATGAGTAATTTTAACATTTTTTTATGGTTCACCAGAGTTTTAGGTTCAACTTCGTTAACCACTCAATAGTAAAGGGCATAACTTCATTGAACAGCAAGAACTTCCATGTTAATGTCATGGGTTGCAATAATGTTACCTTCGACCATTTCACAATTACTGCACCAGAGGACAGTCCAAACACTGATGGAATTCACATAGGTCGTTCCACCGGGATTAACATCATCAGCTCCAACATAGGAACTGGAGATGATTGTGTGTCTATAGGAGACACAAGCAAACAAATAACAGTCACARATGTCACTTGTGGACCAGGACATGGCATTAGCATAGGAAGTTTGGGAAAGTTTGAAGGTGAAGAGAACGTGGAAGGAGTTACAGTAAAAAAGTGCAAATTAATTAATACTTCCAACGGTGTTAGGATCAAAACATGGCCTGGTACTCCTGGCACTGGTAGTGTCACCGACATGCATTTTGAAGATATTGAAATGGTTAACGTTAGCAATCCTGTCTATATAGACCAAGAATATTGTCCACACAATCACTGCAAGAAAACGGTACATGTTTCATTCTCACATTTTCAGTTTATCATTAACTTTAAAGTTGATCTATATTATAATGTTTTTTTTTTTTGTATCTCTAGAGTCCATCAAAGATTAAGATCTCAAAAGTTACCATTAAAAATATCAAAGGCACTTCTGCTACTCCAGTTGCAGTCAAACTTGTTTGCAGCCAAAGTCATCCATGTGAAGGTGTAGAGGTAGCTGATATTGATCTTACTTATAATGGAAAGGAAGGACCAATTATGTCTGAATGTCTAAATGTGAAACCTACTATTTCTGGAAAGCAAAACCCTCGTGCATGTGCTAAACCGGCCGCTGCTAATTCTCCATCAACTCCGTAATCAATTTCATTGTGAGACTTTTATATATAGAAAGCAATTTGTATCTTTTTTTACGTAGCATTATCATTTTTTCCTCCTAAAATTTTGTAGGTATATTTCATTTCATGTCGTGAATTATGTGCATGGTTTCAATAATGTATTTCTATATCATGTATCATGAGAGTGAAACCATAACTCTCATGGGGTTAGAAATTTTTTTTGAATTCAATGTTTGGAAGCAATTMCAATTCTAAATGAAAAAGGACAAAATACTCCATTCATATGGGTTGGAAAAYTTTTACCATATTTTATATTCYTTTTAGATTTTGTGGCACTTCTTCCTTCGCTCGTTTCTTCTCTTCATCCACGACCTTCGTTAACATGAGATCAATTAAGTGCATCTTGAATAATTTGTGTAGTTCTAATACTATCCAACCGAGTCACAAAAGCTTGATAAGAGAGAAGTAATTTTATATATGTCATCTATTTTTCGAATGGACTAGTACAACCTTAACTCATTAATTTCATCTAAAAGGATCCATAGAAGTAATATTTTCTCACCAGTCAGATTTAGATTATGAATTCTGCTCAAGTTGATAAGAAACGTTGTTCTGACTTGAGGTAGCACATTCTTAATTATTTTTAGGGGAAGCTATTCTCACATGGTATGCCAATTCCTTTACTAGTCAATTTTCTATAGCAAAYAATAATTTCAAGTCAACGAATTTACTATGCGYTGAGCGATATGGAATGAGTAGGTTCTTTTTTTCTTAGGTTAGTGATASGCTTATTTCATAAAATTAAATGACATTACATCATCAATTTATAAATTAATTTTAATATTGTGTAACATTAAGAAGTTATTTGYGTTAGGATTTATATTCTARAGCCTYGTAATATATCAAGRAAATAATTTCATTATTTTAATGTATAATTTGAATTATTCACTTTATGAAAATTGAAGGTCATTCATGTAATCTCGAATGATATATAGWTGACATACAAAGAATTATGTTCAAGTAGTAATCTATAAATCTTACAGTTTATGGAAGAAATTAGGTGCCGTATCTTGATAATGCTATTAATAGGGTCCAATTTGTAAAAGTTACMAATGATTTGATCATAATCATTCATGTGATTATATGTATCACATATAATAAGTTTGTATAAGACTAGACAAACAATATGTCTTCTAGTTTCCTATTAAGACCATTAATGAAATTGAAGCCACATCACTAGAGTGATTATTATATGTTTATTTAGTCTTAATCTTGCATATGTTATGATCTTTTATTCACATGGAGAGCAATACCCATATGCCATACATACAACTTTTCTCAAAGAGACATATCAACTCAAATAATYGCATCCGGTAAAAGTTTGAAGGGAGAGTATAATTTAGGCGAAGTTAACATCAAAGACCCTTGCAAGAGTSCAGTTGAGATTGAACTCCAAGRAACGTTGAAGGCTCCCATTCTAACAAAAGGAGATGGATGACTTACTATTGAAAATGTTAATCACTTAACATTGTCGGGCAGTGGAGTTTATGATGCMCAAGGAAAAGARAGTTGGAAATWGAATGATTGCCACGTAAACAAAAAGTGTACCATGCTTCCCATCGTAAGCTTACMTTCTTCAATAATTACAATAATATTCTATTTCATTYGCATCATCTTATCWYTAATTTTAACGTGTTTTTATTGTTCASCGGAGGTTTAGGTTYAACTTCATTAATAGCTCAATAGTGAAGGGTACAACATCATTGAACAACAAGAATTTCCATGTCAATGTCTTGGGTTGCAATAYYGTTACCTTCGACCATTTCACAATTACTGCACCAGAGGACAGTCCAAACACTCATGGAATTCACATAGTTTGTTCCACTGGGATTAACATCATCATCTCCAACATTGGAACTGGAGATGATTGTGTCTATAGGAGACACAAGCAAATAAATAACGGTAACATATGTCACTTGTGGACCAGAAAATGACATTARCATAGGAATTTTGAGAAAGTTCGAAGGTGAAGAGATTGTGGAAGGAGTTATAGTAAAAAAGTGCAAATTAAATAATACTTCCACGGTGTTAGGATCAAAACATGAMTTGGTACTCCKAGCCCTAGTAGGGTTACTAACACGCATTTTGAAGATATTAAATGGTTAACGTTAGTTATCCTGTCTTTATAGACCAACAATATTGTCCACACAATCACTGCGAGAAAAAAGGTATGTGTTTCATTCTCACGTTTTTCAGTTTATTATTAATTAACTTTAAAGTTTATTTATATTATAATGTTCGTTTTTGTATTTTTCAAGTCCAAAGATTGAGATCTCAAAAGTTACCATTAAAAATATCAAAGGCACTTCTGCTACTCCAGGTCCAGTCAAACTTGTTTATAGTCAAGGTCATCCATGTGAAGGTATAGAGGTAGCCGATATTGACCTTACTTACAATAGAAACAGGAAGGACCAATTACGTGTTAATGTCTAAATGTGAAACCTACTATTTTTTGAAAGCAAAACCCTGGTGCATATGCTGAATCGGCTGCTGCTAATTCTCCATCAACTTCATAATCGATTTAATTGTTTAAATTTTATATAATAGGAAGCAATTTGTATTTGTATTTTTTTTACATAGCAATATCAATTGTTCCCTATAAAATTTCGTAGGTATATGTCATTTCATGCCGTGAATTATGTACATGTTTCAATAATGTACTTCTATATCATGAGAGTGAAACCACTACCTCTCATACGGATTAGAAATTTTTTTGTGAGTTAAAAGTTTGGATGCGTTTTCAATTCTAAATGAAAGAGGGCAAAATAGTCCTTATAAATGAGTTGGTAATTTTTAATAATTTTATATTATTTTTAGACTACGTTGCACTTCTTCACTCTGCTCTTTTTCTCTCTTCATCCACGACCTTTATTAACTTTTGGTCTTTTAAGGGCATCYTGAATAGCYTGTGTAATTTGTATACTGTCCAATTGAGTCACAAAAGCTTGATAAGAAAARAGTTTTCTATTTGTCMTATATGTTTCAACTKGATGACTAAATCCTCRATCAAAGGACTTATAGATTATGAATCTAGTCCAASTGGTTGACATTCTAAGTCTTGTGAGGTAGCCAYTAATTTCTTGTTGTGTAAACAACAAGTGTTCGTTTTTGTGGGATTTCAAGTTCAGAATTAAACAATAGGCTTAGAAACAATAGACYAATTGGGCTMAAAAACATGGAAGTAATGGTTGTGACACAGATAGAATCAACTTTCAATGGCTCAAATTCCCTCATATTCTYCCMCTTAATTTGGGACTATGTGAGAAAAGATTGATTTTCAAAGAAACTAATATTCATASATGTGTACATTTTTCTAGTGATCTCAGAATAATATYTGTACTCTTTTGATGTGACGAAAATAACTAAGAAAAATGTACTTTAAGTTATTTTGGATCAAGTATAAATCATAAGGAGAATGATTACGAAAAAAAGGAACATCATCAAAATATGTGAAGATGTTGCTGTTTGGGATGAATTATAAGTAAGACATTTCTAGGAGATTCAAATTTGAGAATACGGATAGGCACTCAGATGATAAGAAACCACGAACTCTCGTATGGATTACAAATTTGTGTAAGTTCAAAGTTTTGAAGCAATTTCGATTCTAAATGAAAAAAAAAACGCAAAATACATTATTGGTTCTTGAAGTTTGAGCTGAAAAAAGAGTACATCGACCACAAAACAATTCATTATTGTGTACCTTTTATATAGCATATTTCTCYCYTTTTCCTCTTTCATTTTCACTAGTTGAAGTAGTTTTCTATTTCGATTCTCAGGAAATTCATTGTCTTAATACCCCTATTTTCCTTTCATCTGAAGCTGCTGTAAATATCTATTTGATCTCAAACGTTCAAAAGGGACATTTTTAGTCCTTAAGGTCACTAAGAGTCAGTTATCATCAAATACAAACTTCTATGCCTCGTATAAGGACTATCTTTCCTAATAGGATTCCCTGCTCATTTTAGGCCCGTGATAAGGTAAAACTCTCTCCGRCCGAGCAATACTTTATTCTCGAACAGATCYATACTAATCATGTTCGGTCTCCTCTCCTCCACCACCCCAAACAATAGGTTTGTATGTCAGCAACCTATTAAATACGGCATCCACGTCAAAGAAATGAACAAAAATAACTGCTGCTCTCCCATCAAATTGTGGAGGTGAGTATTATGTTCTGTTGTTCAAGTCTCCCATTTCCAACTTTTCTTAGCTTTGTTTATAACTGCTGCTCTCCCATCAAAATATCAATCTCCAATTCTCATGTTTTTCTCCTCTTTTTCTTTTAGCACTACATTCCTTTCTTTTTTTTTCTTTTTACCTTATTAGCTCTCCCATCAAATTCCGTTGTCCATTGTCACGTCAACTTTCCATTTGACTAAAAGTGTATTTTATCCTAAATTTTTCTAACAGATCTTATCACGCATAAGTAATAAGCAATTTAGGTCACACTCTAGCTCTTSGTTCTTCTTCTCTCCTACCCTCATTCTTGCTCCTTTTTTTTATCTACACTTTCTTTCTTTTTATTCAACTAGAATTCAAAACCCCCAACAACTAGAAAATTCTGGAGATTTTATCTAAATTCAGTTACCAAAACTATTCCTTAAAAAAGAGAGAACAAGAAGAAGGAAGACTGCTATGGAGAGGAAATTAGTCATGGGAATTTCAAAAATCTCTATATCGCAATCGTGATTGCAACTTCTAAAATCTAACAAAAAAAAAAAATTTCTTTTAGGGTAGATATGTAATTTTGTGTACGGACAAGTTTCATTTGGATTCAATATGGTCAAATTTCTCGAAAATCTGTTTCTGATTGCTACAAAACTATTTTTTGTTGCCAAAGCAAAATAATGCTCGGGTCGATCCATGGCACACATACGTCCCACACATTAACATCAAAATTAATATTTGCATTTTACATTTTGAARTTAGAAAATTGAATTAGTAAATGAATTCTCAAATTTATCTATTATGTTWAAAAAAATAAAAAGATTAAACGGACCACCGTCAATATGATCACACCCATTAATTTATTTAATTTTAAAAGATTTGCTACTCTATATAATTTCTATAATTCTTATRTAGGTAACACTCGTGTGACCCTTSGTATTCTACCTCTTTAGATACCTCTTGAACGAGCAAATAACTTCTGTATTTTTAGTTTTTCTTTCTCCCATTCTCTCATATGGATTTTGCTTTTTACATCATTTTCTTATCTAGGTCTTGATGATTATGTATATTATCATATTAG